CAGTAGCCCTAAACCAGTTCTAATTGTCTTGGTTGATACCGCAGCCTTCCAGTCAGCTACTTCCAATGGCTGAATGGCGTCCGTTTGTGGTGAATGGATTTCCTCGTTGACAGTTTCTTCAAGCTCTTGTTTTTGTTCTTTTTTGTTCATGTTTTCCATAATAGGAAGAATTCCTTTGTTAACATTTAGGGTGCAGTAAACCTGGCCAGTGTCTTTAGACCAGATTATTACGTCTCCATCATAAGACCCTGTTGCCACCAGATTTGGTTCCATGCAAGCAATACAAAGGATGTCGTCTTTGTGGCGATTCTTCCAGTTTTTTCGATAGTCCTCGCTCGCCCCATCTATATAAATATGAACCAACTGACACCAACCTGTCACATAAATTCTTTGTCTTGTACTGACTAGTCCCGTGATCTCCAATGCTTCAGGAGTTGTAAACTGTTGAAGGCAGTTCCCATTGTTGAAATTCCATATTTTCACGCTTCCATCTCTTGCTCCAGTAATAAGTCGTCTGCCAGGTCCGTCAAAAGTCATAGCCGTTATTTCTATGGGTATTTCGACGCCCCTTTCAACTCGCTTGTGGGCATTTACGAATTGAATAACCTTTTCTCCGGTGTTCAAATCCCAAACACTAACCACAGACTCGCGACAGCAACTGACCACAAATTTGAACGTTTTATTATACAGAGCTCCTTGAACTGGTTTTTCGTGTGACGTGATTTCAACACTTTTCTCGTCTTCCAAACTTCTCTCTAACATTGCTAGAGTGTTTGTAGCTAATACTAACTTTTGTGTCACTGGATTGAAGCACATTGAAGAGATGGGAAATGGACCCACTTTTATCACACGTCCACTGAGCTGCTGAACACAGGTCTGGTCTTTCATATCAAATACGCGCACGTTCCTTCCTTTGTCAATGCTCACTATCTGCCCTCGTGAAGAATTGATGACGATGTGTGTCACTGGCTTGCAGTGTCCTTTCAATACAACAATTGGTTTGCTGTTGACGTATGGGTTCCAGATCCTTATCAAATAGTCCATTCCGCCAGTTGCAATGATGTTATTTTCAGCGCAGTAGTCAAAGGTCAGTAATCCTTTATTGACTTTAAAGTAGGTGCTGAATTTTTTCTTATGGTTATAGTCTCCAATGTACATGGAGGCATCACTTGATTGACAACATGAAGCAAAGAGATCTAGTTCTGGTATGTACTTTATATCAGATACCCAGTTGTCATGAATTTTTCCAATTTTGAAACCTTTGACTCCAAGATGAAATCCCCGCAATACCTCTGGTAAAGATATTTTCTTAAAGGCGGTTTGTTTCCCACCCACAGCCCCAAACAGCCCTCCTTTCAATGCGCACTCAAAAACCAAAACATAAACCGATCCCGAAGTATCCCCCCAGACCATTACTGATTTGTTTAAGTCTTTAATATCCGCCCAGTAGTCCATACATGTGATACAGCTATCTATCCCTGTTATGTAGTATCGTTTTTTGAATAGATTGGCCTGTATATCAAATACCGAAATATCCCTATCAGTAGACGTAGCGGCTAACATACTGACATTATAGGCACATACGAAGTCAGTCAGCCAAGGTTGTGTGCTTCTATCAACATGAGGATGAGTCATGTAACTCTTGATTTGTTTCATCTTTGGAGTCCAAAAGGTGACGATTCCTTCTCTGCTCAGTGATACATACCGGGCTGTGTAGTAGTCGAGCGAACATTGGTTAGTGCTTGCTTTTTTATGAACAGTTGGATAAATCGCCACTCTAACTATTGTCTCCCTATGCCGAGTGTTGATGTCCTTAGTTTCTGGAGGAAATGGTCTATCGCGCAATCTCTCAATCATAAGAGTTCTCTCTTGATACTCTAATAAATAATACGTAACATATTCTTCCCAATCTACACGACCGTCACAGTTTGCATCAACTTTCATGAAAAGCAGTTCGATCTGATTATTTGTCATCATATAACCCACCGTCTTTTTCAATGCTATTTTGAATTCGTCAATGTTAAGACCACCCCTTCCATCTTCCTCTGCAACTTGGAAGATTGCCTGTAGCTTGGCATATCTTTCATCAGCAGCCTCTTTCTCTGGATTAAACTCCTGTTGAGCCTTTTCACTTCGACACCTAGAAACTGCTCGTGTGTTACTGGAAATCTGTGATCGGTCTCCAAATGAAGACGAGTTTCTGTAGTCATCATTTGAATCGGGACCCAATAGATATTTGGAACCATTCTCTTTGAGAGAATGCCGGTGTGTAGCTGTTAACAACGTAGAGTCCATTATTTTATCCTATATTTATCGTAATTGCCACAAAACACATTGTGATTTTGTACTCTCCATATTGAAAATACCGTGTTGACAACGTAACGTTGGTGACGTCATAAACGGAAACTGTGGCGATCTCTTTTGATGTTAAATGTATCGTGACATTTAACCAAAAAGTCGTTTTAAGGATATCCGATCCTCAGCCAGGAAGGATAACACTTAAATTTATTATTTTATTTAAAAAGTCTCAAAATGAAGCTTGAAACTGAGATCTTTTCGTGCAACAATTTTCATTTTATATGCATCTCAAAATGATTCAAGATTCTTTGAAGTCTTAGAAGCGGTCTTGTAAAAAATTGACCCTTTTGCCCAATAAAAGAACAAATAAATTCATTTTTAGAGAAATCGAATTTCCTTTAATCTAGCATTAGATACCAATTCTTATTAGTATGATATGAAATTAGATGTGATGTGTGATGTCTAGCAATGATAGCACAAGCTTTTAACACTATGTATCATATAACAATTGAAGTAAAGAGAAGAACTAAAATACTGTATAAGCATAAAAAAGATGCATTTTACTCCAAATGCCTGACTACCTAAATTTTTTTTTTATCCTAAATTATATTTGTTGATCAATCAATTTTCAGTTAGAAAATGCATAGCTGGTATTCTTATTCGCATTTCCTGAAAATATATTTAAGATCTGATAATTTTCCCTATATAATTTGATTAACTATAATGATGAACTTTGAAGAAATACCATGGGTAAATTCACGTTACTATGTGAAATCGGAGACATTTTTGTGAGCATTTTCAATTACTTAAAAGCTTTATACTAGTTAAATTTTGGGCTGATTTTGAGAATATTAGGCCTATAAACATGATAAAGAGACGGTCAAACCAATAGCAACTCGAAATAACCTTACTATTTGTGGTCGTAATAATATAATCTGTCCAAAAAGAAATGAAAGAAAAAAGCCTCCCAAGTCGAATCGGCGATCCCATTCCATAAACTCACAAAACAAGTATTGAAACAGACTATAATTAACAAGAGCATAAAGGGCCAAACTTGCTCTGAACGTTAATGATGTATGTGGCCTTCTTAGATACGCCATAACATTTGTTGTGAGCGATCAAAATAAAACGAATTGAGCGTTGATGAAGGTGTAAAAACTGTATGTATAACATTGTGTATTATTAAAAAAGGCGAAAGATGTTTCGTATATTCATAGTTATAGTAAATTGCGCAGAAGAGTTGCATAAAAGTTATTCTCAAACTGCAAAATTTCATGCTTATTTTAGGCAGTTTGAATTTCCTCTGTCGTTGCATGTTTTTCACATGCATGTCCGTGGCCTTCGTCAAGTTTCTGGAAAGGGGCATGGGTGCATGAGAGAGTCTACAAAGGGTACCCCTTCCACTGGGCCAGAATTCTTCTCAATTCATGCCATTTTGTTGGTTCTGATGCATTCCTTATTTTAAAGTTTTTTTTTTGTTTTTGTTTGTTTGTTTGTTTGTTTTTGTTTGTTTGTTTGTTTTTTTTTTGTTTTTTTTACATATGCTTGAAAATGAAGTCTAGCAGCATTACTTTAAGCAGATAAATAATTTTTTTTTTCAAAAATAATATTTTCGAGTGTTTTTTTTAAAAAGGGGGTCCAGTTGCACCTATCGCACCCTCTGTCCTAATGGCATTGTTACTTAAAAAGGCTTTGCATTTTGTAGAGAGCAAAGAAATGCCTGATTATTTGCATTATAGTTCATAATGTCAATATTTAAGGAATGTTTTTAAGTTTTGTGTGAGTTATTGGTGTGTAAATCACACAGACTTGTCACGTAGACATATTTGATGAAGCGCACTAGCGCTTCATGAAAAATATGCCTAGTGCAAGTCTATGTGATTTACACACCAATAATTCACACTAAACTTAAAAACATTCCTTATATTTACATTTTACAACTTTAAAAGCACCAGTTATATACTCAATATTTGAATTTTTGACTGCCCTATATCGTTACATTTTTATTTACGTGTCTGTAGCCTCATTGTGATGTCACTTTAGCGCGAGTTTCATTGTTATATTTCTACGCGTGAGTATACACAAAAATGACTTTCAAATCAATTGCACAGTTGGCTTAGTAGAAAAACACAGCAAATGTAAATATTTTAAAAGTGAATTTGATCACTATACATGCTAAAAAGCAGTGGTGTTCTCAATAGCATATATGGATCGGAACCCCAGGCACAATCCATGTATGGTTTTTTGACAATAACTGAAGAAATAGCTGATAAAAGCTTAAGTTCATTTTTATGTTCATCAGCACCTAAATTTCAGATACGAAAAACGATCATTGTAACCCATAGGAAAAGCTGTATTGATTTTGACAAACATTGTTGCTATGGTTACTAAAAAATTGAAATTTTTGTGAAATCCTTTCAGAAAGTACTCTTTTTACAGGTTTAGTTTGATTTCAGTGAAACTTTTTACACAAGTAGATTTTACTTAGGAAACATAATCTTGTTCTTCATGAGTGAATTGACATGGTTATACTATAAATAGAATTTTCTGTGAAATTCTTTCAAAAAGATTCTCCTCCTGTAGTTGATTTTAAGTGGAATTGCAATAAAACTATCTTCCCTAGCGAAGGGTTTCTGATTCGCTACTCTTCAAAAACCATTGACCTTTAAGATAATGACAAATTTTAATTGTTTTACAGATAAGCATGAAGCTGAGTTAATAGATTATGAGTGATGATGAATTTCTTAGAAGAAATATCAGCATTTCCTCAGATAGAGAGCTAGACAATCTACATTTAATTCCAAGCCTTGAGAGCTCTCATACTAGCAGATATATGGATTTCCAAAATCAAAAACCTGGACTCTCTGATCCACCACACCGAGGCTTCCATAGGTCTCAGGATGATTCCATGGGAAGTACTCGCAGGACTTGGACTGAAGAAAGTGAGCTTAGAAACCATGGAGGGTCAGAGGAGGAACTGACGCCAGTAAAAAAGTTAAGGTACAAAGATTCAGCAGAACTTGTGGAGATAGGAACTGAGAAGACCCCGAGTGGTCAGACTCGTGAGTACAGTGACTTACATTTGGAGAGTAATTTGAGGACTCCTAGGTATGGAACATATACAAGTTACAGTGAAATGATTGATAGTGTACATGAGCAGGACCCATTTCATGGTGATTATAAACCCTCAGGGAAAACCAAAAAGTCAAAGAGCAAAAAACACAAGAGAGAGAAGGATAAATCTCAAGAAGAAGATCTCTCTGTGAAAGACCCACTGTCAAAATCATCCAGAAAGCAATCAAAGAAAGGAAGAAAATCTGAGGTCACGGGCAGTACAGGTACATACACAATTCAGGGATTAACAAACAAATCCTTTACTGACTCAGGGCCTGTCGCAGACACAAGCTCAGTGAAAAGTAATGGAACATACACACTGAAACAAGAGGACAGTGTTGATGGATTCAGGTTGAGTAAGAAAAGTTCAGTTGGATTTTCCAGAAAGAGAAAAACCAGAAGGTCAACGGTAAAGCTGGGGGCATCAAGGATTAATCAGGTACTGTAAAATTTATTATTTATTTAGTCTTTGTACAAGCCTTCACCCACTGATTTATGTTCACTGTTAAGATATTTGTTTTCAAACTAACTATTGATCATGTTATATTTTTTCTTGACAATTGCAGAGGTCATTCAGAGACTTCATTATGAGGAACAGAATAATGATCCGAGTTCCATTACCAGTGGAAGAAATAGAGTAAGTACTGACTTTTTATGTTCATTAAATTAAAGAAATTTCTTGGATCAACTTTTTGTATAAGACTGCAATTAAATCATCATACATGTGACGTGTAAATACTCTACAGCTGATTATTTAAAAGGTAAAAATATATACCGTATTTTATGTTTTGGCTCAAAATTTTTACTTCATATTTTATAGAACTACTTTACGAAGAGAACATGCTCATCTTCTGAGGCAAACAAAACATGTGTGGCATTATCAAACCCACACCAAACCAGAGCCCACAGACTCATTTGGATATATAAATTTTCAAGGATACGGAAATGAGATTGAAGCATCTCCTGTAAGTGAAAACGTCGCTTTTTGCTTTTACCACAATTTGGTAAAAAGATCAAAACGAAACATGTTGGTACACTTAATGTGTACTTTTTGTTTATCTTTATGCAGAGCTAATGTACCATATATACTTGACAATAAGTTGATTTGCTAAAAGTTGGTTGTATTTTTTCCAATTTTTTGCCAGAATCTTTTGGCAGTTTCAGATTAATATTATATTGTATCAACCCATGTTTCAAAATATGTTTTGGTATCGATATTTGGTCTTTTATTTACAATTGAAACGTATAGTTGAACTTCAGTATCTTGAACACCTATATAGATCTCCAATACTATGGATATATGAAAGTGAGTTGGAATTCCAACTTCTCTTTCTCTATGTATTTTAACTTCCATATCTCAAATTTTTTTTCGGTTCAAGATAACGAGGTTTGACTGTATATAAGATATACATATAAGATCATAACAATTTGTACTAAGCACTGGTGTTTTATTCAAATGGTAACCAGATCTTCCTTTCCTACATTAGATTATGTTCCAACCCTTATAAATGATTTATAATTGTTGGAGTTAAAATGATTATTGTTAGCATTAACACATATTTCCTCTACCAGAAAATTAAAATACCCCATTTTCAAGGACTGGCTTATAAGTCAAACATAGAGTTTTGGACCAACATTTAACTTCCAAAAAATCCAACTTATAAGCAAGCATTGTAGATTGGAAATTGTTGTCATCCCTTTCACACTTGATACAAGTGAGTGCAGGAATTTAAAATGGGGAGAATTCTAGTAATCAGCATTTTCTCTCAAAAACGACTGTGTCTGGGCGAATTGAAAATAAGGCAAAATATTTTTTCAACCATGAAAGGGCCAAAAATAACATGGGTCAAAAATAAACTTGTACATGTGTATACAGTATATTTGATAGTTCATTTGCTAAGAGATGAAGCTATTCTGGAAAGAATTTAAGAATTCTTTAGCTCGACATATATTGCTGAGCTGTACAAGTGATTTCAATGTAATGGTGATCTTTAAAAATTAGTTGGAACAGGTTGACTAGACTTGATCAATATTTGCATTAGTGGTTTACATTTACCTTTGAAGATAAACAATATCTATAGGGTGTATATGATAAAGATTGGATTAAAATTCAACATGCTTTCTGTTCTGAAATTTAAAATATCTAAATATTGTTAAATGGCAATCTTTGCCATTCAAGTCATTTAATTTGTGCAAGTGAGTTCAGAAGTAAAAGCTAGAAAAAGAGGCAGATAGGACATATATTTGTTTCTTTATTACATCACTTCAAGGCTATCATAAATTGAAGTCATCTTTACTTAATTTAAGTGAAATGTTTCGTACCTTTACATGTTCATCAATAAAAACAATTCTCACCATATAAATGTAGTTTTTACAAATTTAAAACATCTCTTCATCTAAAAAAGGAAATTATATAATGAAAAATATCTGTGGTTACTGACAAAGTAAAGGATGTGTATTCTAAACAGGAAACAAGTCAACAAAAACTTTATCTTTTAGCTAGTTCTTCAATTTTTTTTTTATTATGAGTGATCTTTCAGTAATATATTAAGAAAATCTTTGTTGATCAACATGCTTCTGTAATGCACACTATCCTTTTTCTTAAAAAAAAAAAAATTATCATAAATCAGTCATGTTGTCACCTTAAATCATGTGATAATACAATGTAGAATGATAAACCATTTCAAATTGATTTTAGTTACATAAATAGTATATTTATTTAAAAAAAAAAGGTTCCCCCTTTCTTAATCAACTCCATGGAACGAAATTATATGTACATTTTCAGAACAATTCAATAAATGAAGCAGAGGATAGCTAAAATATTATGCAGAATTTAATACTTGTATTAATTTTTTTTTTTTAAATCAAATTGCAGTACCTTCGCTGTGAACCAGACACTAAACCTGAAATTATCTGGGATATGATGATTAACCAGTGGCACTTAGAGCCACCACAACTGATCATCTCAGTCACTGGTGGTGCACAACGATTTGATCTGAAGCGCAGAATGCAGGAGACTTTCAAGCGAGGTCTGATGAATGCAGCAACATCAACTTGTAAGTACCCACGAGACATAAATTTCAATGTTGAAAAATGTCAACTGAAGTAAAAAGAATGCATGTAGAGGTCAGTATGTCTCCCTGAGATAATGGATTTGGAATAGTTGTCCACAGTCTGTCACAAATTCACAATTGTCAGATATTTAAAAAGTCTGTCACAAAATCACAATTGTCAGATATTTAAAGAATTTTGAGTATATCTGCCTTCATTTGTAGAAACTATTACAAACATTATACAAGAAGACAGAATTTCACACTAACTTTTATAAGCATTATTCAAAGTGTTGGCAAAATTGATGGATTTTGTGCAATTGACTACTGAAATATTCCTGAAATACAATTATTTTTCCCCTGAAAAATAAATGATTTTTTGATAAATATCATCCTATCTGCTCAGGAGATATCAAGTCTGTCAAGAGAAGTACCGTAAGTTTTGGGGTGTATGTCGATGGGGTGTATAGGTCAAAAGGCTCATTTTCAGCCGTAATTTCACCTTAACTCAGCATCAAACTCAAAATATTGATGTTTTTTTAACAATATTAAAGGCATTCTAGTTTGTTAATTTTAAAAAATAACTTGTTTCCATCATGCCCCTGACTGACAGAAGCTAGAAAGCTAAAAATAGATTCAAGATTTTTCAGTAAAAGTTGTGGAGAATTGGACATTGGCATTTTATTCATTATATTGTTTACCATAAAGTTTTATTGTTATGTCCTTCAGACAAATTAGCCACAGCTTTTATTAAGTCCAAATGAAAATATATTAATCTGTCAGTAAGAGTAACAGACCAGTTAGTGTGGAATCCTGGAAAAATTATAAAAATGGGAATACATTTTTTAAGGCAATTCATCAATTAGCAGACTTTGATTTCATATCACCTCTGGAGTCTTTTAAAAATCATTTCAGATAAATTTTAAAAGAATTTCCCTTTTCTCTGTTAGGTGCTTGGATCATTACTGGAGGCACCAGGACGGGGGTGATGGAGTTTGTAGGTGATGCCGTCAAAGATCACATCATCACCACGGGGCGTAAAAATGATGTTGTAGTCCTGGGGATAGCTACATGGGGCTGTGTTGCCAACAGGCATGCCTTAGATGGAGAAGAGGTAGGAACTAATATTGAAGGCTGAAGCCAATATATTATTTAATTTATTGAAATATACAGTAAACATTTTGTTTGGACACATTTCTGCCAGTGCGCAGTGTGCTCCTACACTATGAAAAAAAATTCTAGAAAATGATATTGAAGCGAAACATTTGTTGAAAAATAATTATCATAATTTTTTTTTATATACTTAGCCTATTCTTTTGTTGTGTTTTAATAGGGATGCTAGAGAGAAAGTAGCATAAAGTTTAATATCTTAATTGGTCTTTTAAAGTAATGTATTTAAATTAAAATTAATTCTTGTTACATGAGAGACTAATAATAATAAAGCATTTATTTTAAGGTTATAATGTTATTAATGAAAGAAAATAGATTTAGAGAAATTAAGATGGTGGATAAAACATAATAGAAAACTATCATGTAATTTTTTTTTTTGATATACAAGTCAGAATATCAATGTTAAATAGTTTAAAGACCCAACAGTTGATGAGGTAAGGTTATGTTTGCAAAATAACTTGGCAGATTAATAGATGTAGATACATTTGTGTGGGGAGTTCAGTTGAATTTATAAGTAAACAATCTGTTATACCTTTAAATGCTGTTTCCTATATAAATCTACACTGAAAAAAGTTGGCACATTTACAATGTTTTACTAAGAGGTCCCCAAAAATTGAAGTTGGACTGCAGAGTGAAATATTGGATCTGATGATGAGTATTGGACCGCTTATATCACTATGTGGGTGGGATCAGCTTTGCTGGTAAACAAAATTTAATTTACATCATGGAAGCCAGCTCAAATATGTCCAAAAAAGTAAAAGGTGTAACAAAACATTTATTGACTGTGTTCTCGGGCAAAATATGTTTGGTTGACTCCTCAAACTAAACTGTTTATTAGGCCTCTGGAAAACTGTTTGGTTCTTGGATCCAAAAAAAACACACGTTGCCCTCAAACCCAATCAATAAATGTATATTGCTTAATACTAATGGAAAGAGTAGCTAGTTTGTTTATTTTTGAAATAAAGTCAGTAAAAGGGTTTGTAAAAATCAATTGTGTTAACAAAAAAAGCTTTGGCTTAGAAATGCTGAAAGTTTATACAAAAACACTAGAAGTTTTCATTTGTTTTGGGATATGGTTTTTAGATTTTCAACAATAACATCTAAAAATAGGAAGATAAGAGTTCAAGTTGATTGTACATGTATTTAATGTGTACTGCTTTATTTCTGATATAATTTTAATTTCATTGAAGATAACAATATCACAGCAGTTAAATAAACTGTTGTAGCAACTGAAAATATTAGGTGGATTTCAGGTGGTGCAAAGTAAAATTTTGCTCTGAAAAATATTAATAACTAGAGCGAAATAAATGGGCATCTTGTGTGTCATTTTGTGGTGTTAACAAAACAAAAAAAAAATTGGCAGAATGTTTAAACCTCCATCTGTCCTTATTATAATATTGGCTGATATTGCAAAATATGAGGATCAAATTACAAAAATTGACCCAACCAAAAAAAGCATTATACAACATTTCAGAAAAGCATTCTCTACATAAGACAGACAATCACAATTGAAAATTTACTGTAGATTCCTAAATATGTGCGAGGAATTAGTTATTGTGTAATTTGGCGAGAAGAACCACTCGTGAAATAAATTTACTTGATTTTATTTTTAGTACTGAAATCCATATAAAATCTCTTGATCAACCGTCTACTGAGTACTCACAAATTATTGTTCTCACGATTTGATGTCAAAGAGCCATTTCGCCCTATTAAGTACTCACGAAAAATCAGGAATCTACAGTAACCTTGTTTTAACCAGGGACATATACGTTACAAACACCCTTAAAAGTTTTTCAATTAACTATGCATTTATTTCAAGTAAAAAAAAAATTGATGAATGTAGTCTGTTCTTTTTGTTAATTGGGATGGATTTTTAATGAATTTTAAAGCATACACTGTGAAAAAGTTTAGATATAAGCAAACAACCACAAAAATTCAGTGAAATCTTGGAAATACGGCTGTTTGGGTTCATGTGTTTTGAAAATAAAAACCAATAATTTTACTTAGGATAAGGAATTTTGAGTGCAAATAACAAATATTGAATAATTTTTGATAACATTAAAAGGTCTTGTTCTAATATTATTGATAATATTAGACATATTAAATTATTTAATTATGAAATTTAAAATGACATTCAAAATCCTGTGAGTTGTGAAGTATTGAGAGACATTCAAGAATTGCTTATCCCATTATTACATGTATATGAATTCAGAAAATAATCTCAATAATCCTGTGCATTTCTTGCTTCAAGTTTAAGTACATGAACAATAAAAATGGTGTTACAGGGGCTAAAGAATGGTCTTTTCCCAGCTGTGTACTCTAAAGCAGATGTTATGGAAGCACGGTTGTTGAATCCAAAGAACGTTCCTCTAGATGAGAATCACTCACACTTCCTCCTTATAGATGACGGATCAGAGAATAAATTTGGGGCAGAAATTGACTTCAGAACTAAACTGGAGAAATACATTTCAGAGCAGCAAGTGGACCCAGATGATAAAGAATCTTGTAAGCATTTGTTGTAGAACTCTCGTAATGCATTAGAAAACAAAATTGACTAGAAACCGTATTTTGTTTGTATTCTTTTATCAGGCTTTGATAATAATGAAAGTGACAAAAGTAAGTTCTCAAAAAAAAAACAAAAAAAAAGAACCATTGGTTTAATTTCCATTTAACATAAGCACCATTGAAATTTTACATGTCATGAAAAGTAGTTAATCTTTATGAAATCTACATAATTGTGTATATTTACTTAGGTACTTCATTTTGATTAATGATCATACTATAACATGACCATGCCTTATCTTTAAAAAAAAAAAAAGAAATATTTTAAACAATTTTTTTGTTAAATACTGGTAACCATTTTTTAAAAGTGTTATGTTCATGGGAGTATTTTAAGAAGTTTTTTTTTTTTTGTATTTCAGCTCTAACTATCCCGGTGATTTCTATAATCGTTGAGGGAGGGATAAACTCAATGAAGACTGTGTGGCAGGCCGTAACAAGGGGGATACCTGTCCTTGTGCTACAGTCGTCAGGGAGAGCTGCTGACTATATAGCACATGGCTATAACATAACAGCCCACAAGCTCAGGTTAATCATAGCAAAATGTACCAGTACCTCCTACATGACAAAAGACACTGTTTATAACCTTTCATCATAACACATTTAACATTGCTATGAGTTCACAACCAACAAATGTATGTCAGATTAAAAATAAATGAATTGCTTTGATAGCATTTGTAGAAAATGACTGCACAATTGACATCACTCCAAAGAGCCCCAAAACAAGACAGTTATTTTTTGAATAACTCTGCTGTAAAAGAAACTTTCTGATCATTGCTTGTATTGGTAATAAATGACTGAAACATCAAAGATTTTAGACACTCTGCTTTAGCTATTGCACATGGAATGGCTATTGTATTCTAGTAAATAAATTCGGTGAGCTTTAAATCACAGCAGAAGATACAAAGATTAAAAAAAAATTTAAACAAAAGTAAACTTAATATCATAAAACAGGATACATTTATGAACATGTATAACTCTACAATTAACATTTTTTGGTAATTTTTAAGTTTGAATAGACTAGGTATTTTTTTTACAGGAATCAATCAGCAAAAAATCGTTGATAAGTATTCTGGCCCATGGACCATCTAATTATGAAGTATATAAAAGTCTTCTTTTTTCCTTCATTAGTGAAGAGAAAAGCTACTTTCCCAAAGATTTTGATGAAGAAATGGAGAACCTTGCAAACAGAGTATTTGAGTGGAAAGAGAAAGACACTCCAAGAAAACCTGCTTTGATAGCTAACTGTTTAAAACAGCTGAGAGAAGCTCTACAGCACAGGGAAATGGTGAGTATAGGGGAGTGCTGATGAATTCGTTCTGTTGTGTTATAACTGTGTTGAACTATATTTGTAATTTTATGGATTTTTGAATTTTTAAATGCATACAATAATAAAATGCAATAGAAAGTAATAAGCACTGGGTCAAATACATGTATAAAGCATTTTACTTTAACTTTCTATTGTTCTGGAATTTTTGGATACAACTTGTTTGTTTATATACAGCTGATATTTATTGCTGCAAATTCTCTCTCTCCATTGAATTAAATGTTGCTTTTTTCTCTCCAGTTGACTGTATTTGATCTAAATGACTATGAAACAAAAGATTTTGACCGAGCAATCCTGTATGCCTTGTTGAAAGGTGAGTGAATGAGAGTCTCTTTATTTATACATGTCCTATTGACACAGAAAAGATTCCAATGTCATCAATCAAGAAAAACTAATTGGTTAATAATTTTATAAAGTTATGAAATAAACTTTTTGCAGCAAACAGATCCAACACCAATGCTCAGCTGAGTTTGGCTTTGGCTTGGAATCGGTCAGACATAGCTAAAAATGAGATCTTCACAGCTTCTAACAAGACAAATTACCAGGTAAGAATATTTCATTTCATCTGTAATAAATTATCGTTAAAGTAGATACTGAATGAAAAATGGACTTTGGATGATATTCTTGGAAATGAGAAGTGGCTAAGTACTCCCCTGTAGGAATATTATTGAACCTCTGTAAGGTTTATCTAAATTTTTGTGGTAAATGTTTGCAGGGGAGGGGGGATAGAAATTTCTTAAGACTAGTGAGAACTTTTTTCGATTGACTTATTTAAAATTTTACTTCAATGATATGAAAAATTATTATAATAAATGAATTTGAAACATTTCTATATAAAACTTTTATAGACATGCTGGATATTTAAGATATAAAAACTGAATATGAAAATGACAGTACTGTAATGTCCAGCCAATATTGGCTCAATTATGTTACTTTAGAAACAAAGTTCCTGGTTTGTGTATTAGTCAACAGTGTTATGCATTGCAGTTCTGAAGTTTTGATTCATGCCTACACTACATATTAAAGTCCTGTAATTGTACTAGGCCATGTCTTCATAGAACTTTCGATTTTGTAATTTAGATTCAAAAAACAATTTTCTATTTCAGAAGGTATTTCAGAGTTGGTATAAACTTGTTTTTTTAGTAACAATCATTCACTTTTCATGTTTGAATTGAACACATAACTTAATTCTTTCATTATAAATGAAAGAACTATTTGGGAAACGCATCTTAATTACTCAGTATTAAGAATAACAGCTTGAAGTTTGAGAAGGTGATGTGGTCCCCACAAAAAACATCCACAATTTCATCAACTTTGTTATCTAACAGTACAAATCACAAAGTTCATGATTTCCTGCAGTGATTGTAAACTAAGAGTGCAGTTTTTAGGTCCCCAAAGTCATTCAGATGACCTTCTTGCCATCTGTTCCTATTTTTCGTCTGTGATACTGTAAATATACTTTCTTCTGCAGGATCATAATTCCACAGAATCACAATTTCTGTTCAATCCACGGGTAGAAAATTACACAAATTTCTTGGATTGCCCTAGGATGTCTTAAATGCACTTTAAGAATGCTGTGACAAATTTCCATGGAAAATTTGTGACCGCATACACAGTGTAAATTAATTCCTTGCAGAAAAAAGTACATCTACAGTATATAATGTGTGGTCTGTAAATTTTCAATAGTTTTCAGAATTTTCTCTTAAGCTTCATCATCCCTCGATCTGTTTACTCAGACTTGAATTTTACTTGAATGATAATGATTTTCCAAAAGAAATCTAAATCATATTTGAAATGTAAACAATGTGAGTAAAGCTTGCCATGAAAAATTTTACTGAAATTTCCTTTTAGTCTTGATATCTTTTCAAGGGAATTATAGTATTCATTAATCTCAGTTACCTCTCTTATCACTGGGTCAATGGACCTTAAATGGGTGACTAATTTCCACCAATTTTAAAATGTAACATTTATGGGTGAAAGGAAACACTCCTCCTAAACCCCCTAAAGAGGGATATGTCCCAAAACATCGAAATTTATGTAGACCTAATCTTTAAAAGTCTTCCTCTATACTTAAAAACTTCTAGTAGGCAAACTGCTGAGATGAGTATAAAGAGCAGCTAGCCTTCAACAAGGTGTGAAATTTAGGACTCGATCCTAAACTCAGAATTCAGGGCAAAGCACGAGGCTCTACAAATACATTTTAACTTTGAAAATCTTCTTTTCTCAAAGATACAAAAATCATTACTTCCATGTGCTCCCTTTTTCCTTTTGCAATTAAGTTCTCTGTCTAGACTGCATTATTATTAGGTTTATGTTGAATTGCAACGTCAAAGAAATATTTACATTAATGTAAACATATATATATATATGCTATAGTCTAATAGATTATTTACAAAAATACTTTTATTCCAAAAATTAACGAACGTGTACATGTAATATAATTTCAGGATAAGTCATCAAAAATGTACAAAGTAAGTCCCTACACTGGCATATCATTATCATGTTGTATTTAGTCTGACTGTATATTAAAGTGGACTCATTGCAAACCTGTAGTCCTTATTATTCTGAGTTAAAAGATGAAATGTATCATTCTCACAAAGTAAAAAAGATCTGCTTGGTTTCTGTTTAAAGAGCTAGCAGTGACATTCCTCCAAAATAACTGTTAGGTAGGTTCTAGTATGACAAAATCAGGGGAACACTGTAGAATAATTTTAATTCATGGGGCCAATTTTCATGGCCAAGCAAAATTTTACTTGTTCGTTGGGACATAATTTCATGGGTTACTCATTTATACAATAGATTCAATGAATCAATATGATTACAAAATAAATGTTCATGGGGATGTAAATTCGTGGGTAAGGGTGACCCACAAAATCCACAAACATTGGTCCCCCATAGACAATGATGATTCCACAGTAGCTTAAAAGGAATGGACACACTTAGTGTAGATTCAAGTTTGTTCAAATAATGTCCATAGGCTAGGCGGCTAGGCCAGGGCACAATTTAACAGAAGAATATACATTTCTTCTCAGGAGTACACTGCCTCGATTAAAGTTTAAAAAAGGAGCAATGTGTAAATTGTATCAAACATTGATAAAATATATATGTTAAATGTCGAGAACATTTCTTTTACTGTTTAGATCAAGAATAAGACATTTCACTCTCCTTTTATTTTAGGAATATGTTACTCAGATAAGCTGTGTAGACTATAGGCCCCTTGTTTTTCCGATGGTTTTGATGATACAATATGCAGTAAAACTCAGTTATAGCAAAGTCATGGGGACCCCTGCCAAATTATTAGGCTATATCCTTAATTTCATTACTTCTGTACAACGAATTTGTTAAAGTATATAGCAGATTGGCAGTTTAGATGTTTTCCATCAAGTATGACTACCAAATATATTCTTGGAAGTATTATATACAAATCTTACCCTGGAGTAAAAAGTTTTTGGATGAATTAAATTTAAATATCAAACTTTACCACAAAATAATGTCATTTCAGTATTTTAAATTTTGAGATCTTTGTAAATTTGTTATAAAAGATTTAAATATTGTTATTTTTTACCTCTATGGGACAAAAATCAGTTGGTTATATCCATAAATTCTGTTTATCAGAGTTCCTTATAGCCATAACGTTTTACAAGGAATTATTAAGAATTTTGCAGGGAAACCCAAAACACTTTGCTATATCCTAAAATTCACTATATCTGTGTTTGTACTAAAAGAGTTTTACTGTATCATCAAATTCATTATAGTTTTATATTTACTTGTAAATCTTTAATCTCAGATGCCCCATATACTTAGGTTTGATATCAAATACATGTACATATAAGGTTTCAACATCTTCGCTAGCCAAGGATTTCTGATCTGCTTCTCTTCTCATAATCCCTTGGCCTACAGTGCTGTCAAAAGTTGGGATTTTTTTGTTGAGTTGTAATTGGAGTTTATTGATATAGTTTGATCACTCAGCAATTTTTTTTTGTAAATGACGATATATGTGTTCAGGATATATCTTCATTCTTTAGTCTTAGGAATGAAACACACAAGTAAACAACGATCCGTAAGATAACGTCATTCTATAAATAGTTACATGTATGGTGTGACCTGGAATCTATATTACAGATGTAGATTTACACCCTGAATAACAAGTACATGTTAACATTGCTTGATACCTTCTTGTTAATTATTCTCTTAAAAATTTAATGTTTAAATTTGCTTTTTATTTCTGTTGATGATGCAATCTGTGCATATGTGGTAAGATTTGAGATCACGTGATGTAAACATTCCTGTCTTTTGACAGCACCATATGCCAAGGGTTTCTGAGGAGAGTAGCAGATCAGAAACCCTTAGCTAGTGAAGATGAGGTTTAAGTGATATCAGATACATAGCTTTGATATCATGTGTAGTGTCTAAGATCCCTTGGATAATCCCTGTAGTAAACAGGATCTCATTTGAAATGAGTCTTTTAGATATTACATGTAATAAAAAGTTTTAGATTGATTTTAGTCTTTAATGTTGAATATTGTTGTAATAAAAATATTATGAATTAAGTTTAGTCTTTAATATATTTGAATATTGTCATGCATTTTTTTTTCTTGTTGTGCTTTTTATAGTACATCAGTTTTACATGTATACTATATTTTAATTCTTTTTTACTAGTTAGTTGTTACTTTTGCCAGCATATGATGTTGGTATGCTTATAAGACATTTTTGTATTTCCTTATTCCCAAATTTTGCATGTAATCTATGTTTATAATTGTGCATACTCAGCATGTATCTTTAGTAAAACTTAAACCTGTTTTTGAGAGACAAAAGTGAAATTTTATTTACAAAGATTATGTATAATAGTTTTATATAAAGGATTGCTCTCTTACAAAATAAATGTTTTTACAGGAGCTAAAGTTGGATGATGCCATGATGACAGCACTTATACAGGACCGACTGGAATTTGTCAAACTCTTCCTAGAAAATGGAATTGATCTGTCTCACTTCCTTGACATTAGAAATCTGTGGAACCTCTACTCCAACGTAAGATTTCATTTATCTGTCTGTCTGTTCGTCTGTACATGTACAATATATGGAACTTCACTACCATATAAGACTTTACATATCTGTCTATTTGGCTGTATAAATTTATGGACCATCTTTCCTGGTGCAGCTTCTCATCTGCTCATACCTGTAAACCTCATCACAAGGGTAACTTTTCATCTGCTCATACCTGTAAACATCTTTATTTGTTTATATCTGTAAACCTCTTCACCAGTGTAACTCTTCGTCTAATTATTTTTGTAAACCTCTTCACAAGAGTAACTTTTCATCTTCTCATACCTGTAAACATTTTCACCAGATTAACTCTTTATCTGTTTATATCTATAAACCTCTTCACCAATGTAACCTTTTCTCTGCTTATACCTGTAAACCTCTTCACCAGTGTAACTCTAAGTCTTCATCTGCTTATTTCTGTAAACCTCTTCTCTCATATAAGTTTTCATCTGTTGTATTTGTGGAACCTCTTCCCTACTGTAATTCTTCATTTGTCTCCCTGTATAATCTATCTAACCACTATACCATTCATATAAATAATGTTGTCACTGCAATTACTTTACTCTTTTGTACTTCAAGTATGATCTATAATTATTTCGTTGTTTGCTTTGATTTCTAGTGTTTCAATGACAAAACAGATGGAGCTGCACAATTGTTGATGAACAGAATAAACTATCTGAGGGTAAGTTTAACATCTGTAATGCTTAAATATATATCTGTAAGGCCAAAAGGTATGTGTAAAAGTAAAAAATGTATAGACAATTTTGTCTACATATTAGGATTTATGTAACAATTACTATCATTTACTGATTTGCTTGTCTTACCCACTAGGAATGATTGGGAATAAAAATCCCTAACTGGCTTCCAGTATTTTTGTTTCCCAGATTTATTTCTTTATTACCTCCATTTGGGAATTTTAAATTTTACATTATGCAGTCTGTTTTATACCCCCATAAAATTTTTGTTGGGGAAGGGGAGGGGTTTAGATAAATATGACTGTACCTATTTGTCATCTATCTGCCAGTTTTGTCTCAATCCAGCTCTTACATACTATAGCTTTCATGGGGACATAAAAGATGCTTGTTTTTGGTATTAAAATGGGTTTTGGGGAGAATTTAAGGTCTGACATTTGGATATGGCAATGATCCAAGCCTGTGATTTTTGTCCAAGCAACATATCTGTAGAATGTAGAATCTGATATACCTGTACTTGACACATGGAACCTAGACCAAGGTCATTTTAATAGAGAAGTTAGGTCACAAGGATCACAGGTGTGAATTCTTTTTTGTCTATAACCTTATCAACCTGAGACCTTAGAAGCTAATATTGTGAAAAAAAGGGAATCTGGTCTTCTATGAATTATACCCTGCCCTGTTTTAGTTTGGGGTACATTTGAGTCTTGATAGGACTGCTCTGTTTTAAGCATATTTAAGCCTTATTTTATGCTGTAACTGCCTTTTCCTATGTAACTCCAAATTACATGAATCAAAGAAGAATGTGTATTTGTTCTCCTTTTCTTAGGGAGTAGTAAAGGTATACAACGTAAAACCTACTGAATGTGTTTGCATGTTTGTCTCCTTTTCAGGAATGGGTTAAATATTTTTTTCCTTATAAAAAATTTTCATTCATGAAACAAAGTCCTTTTTTTTAAATAGTAACTAGTAATTGTTTGATGATTATTTGATACTTTTCTATAATATTCTCTTCCTAAATTCAAGCAAGTTAGCATTCTTGAAGGGGAGCCATTCTTGTTTTAAAAAAAAATAACACTTCATGTTTTTGTTTTACTTCAAAGTAACATGTCCTACATTTTTTATTTATTTGTTCTGTTATCTCCTCAGTTGGCTATTTTGAATTTGTATTATTTACTAAGTAAGTCCAGGTATATTTTTTGATATAAACCAAAGAAAGGATAAAGGGAAAAAATATCATTCCTTGAATAACCTGTATTTAATTCACTGCAAAAAAGTTTTACTGTTTGAAAGCATGCAATGTTACACACATTCAAATTTAACATTCTCGCTGAACACATTCTATTTCTTTTAATTGATACTGAAATAAATGCTGCATAATAAATCTTTTTGAAAATAAAAATTAAATCTGGTGTTTAACATCCCTATATTTTTCTATAATTGCATGTTCAACCATACTGGGGTTCTGAAATTTCAAGTTTATTCAAATCATGAATATGCATATTTACAATATGTAAATTATGTGTTCATTTCTTAGTAGTAAGTACTGCAAGTATACATAAATTGACGTATTAAAAATTTAGCGCAATTACTAGGTATGGAGTGGTTGGTGTAATTATGAATTAGCAATATATACATCCGTGCCATGTATTGTATTTATTTATGATTTATTAACAGTATTCATGAATTAGCACATCGCTGTCTGCGCCAAAGCTGCTAAAATATGAAGCTTGCTTTTTTTAAGTACATATTCAGTTAGTCAGTATATGGTGAGTGATAAATCTCTGAGGTGTATGAGTGTTATGGCCATGAGTCGCTCATTCTGTATTAAAAATTAAAAAAAAATATTCCTGTTGAATATAATAACCTGTTCACAAGGAGAGTTGAATTGAAATTAAACTAAGTTACTGCAAATTAAATTTGAACTGTGTTCACATGGAGAATTAAATGTGAATTAGTTAAATTTGAATTAATTCACTGTGCATCAAATTGCTTTGCATTAACTCAATGTGAATCCAAATTATGTTTTGACGCATGCATAATAGCAAAGATAAGCCACTTGCTACATGTTGGTGGTCAGATATATGTTCTTATGCTATTTTTGAGTGAAAAAGAAAGAAAAATTAAGTTTATCACTAAAAATGTGTACATATGCTATGAAATTATATCTCAAATGTATATCTACTCTGCATTTGGTGATGTGATTTGCAAATGATGTCTTTATAGCCTTACTGTAGAACTAAAAAATTTTAAAATACGCATTGCTTTACTTAGCATTATTTGTCCTGTGAATGCAATTTAATTCGCATTAGTTTAATTCGCATTATTTTAATTCACATTAATTTACTGTGAATAAAATATTTAATGTCCATCCATGTGAACAGGGCATAAACTTGACTTTTAATTTGTATTTTACTTTTAGCAAACCTGGGCTGCTTATTTGTGCTGTAAGCAAACAGAAGATATTGGGGTAGAACCTGATTTGCTGAATTACATAGGGAAGGTTATAGTTCATCTCCTTGGTGATGAGGCCATGAATCTTTATGCAGGTGCTGGAAAATGAATTCTCTGAATCATTTTATTGAGAATAATGAATTAAGCAATGCAGTTTCTGTATTATCTCTAAAAGAAGATGTAAACATTATTATATTAACAGAGTTGAACTAAATTTTTATGTTAATTGGATGTATGAGTGTATTGTTAATAGCCATAAGTTTGTAACATACTATGACATACTGTGTTTGTTGTGACAGGGAATCAGTATGATGTCCATAGTGAAGAGGTTGTGTTTGGATACATTCCCAAAGCAGAGAAGCCTTGTGAAGAGTACTGTAAGTTTATGATTACATTAATACATTTGGAACTGTGAATTTATGAATACATGACAGTTAGTACTCTGAGTTAATGATTACATTATAGTTGGTAATGTGATTAAATTATTACATTTCAGTTAATACTGTAAGTTAATGATTACATTACAGTAGGTAGCGTGAGTTAACAATTACATTACAGTTGGTAGTGTGAGTTCACAATTACATTACAGTTGGTACTGTGAGTTCACAATTACATTGCAGTTGGTATTGTGAGTTCTCTATTGGATTATAATTAATACCTTGATTTCACAACTACATTACAGTTGAAACCCTGAGTTCCCAATTACATTACAGTAGGTGCAATGAGTTTACAATTACATTCAGTTTGTACAATGATTTCATGATAAATGTTGTTTCTGTGAGTTCGCAGTTACATGACAGTTGGTACCATGAGTGCCATTGTGCACCTTCTATTTTACATATTTTTGACGAGACATGTTTAGAGTTTCCTATAGCCATAAAAAGACATGGACACTGCCATTCTTTCTAAATTATTGGGGGTACCCATCTCTTAGCTGCAACTCTTTCTATATCATTGCATAAAATTTAATGAGAATTTTCCAATATCTTTATTACATAGTGCCATTGTGCACCTCCTATTGACATTTTGCTCAGACACATATTTTGGCTTTCCCATATCAGAACATGGACTTTGCCATTATACTCATATGGGAGTGGGGATATCATTTTTGGAGCTCATTGCTCCCAGGACCTCTAGATTTCAGTAGTTTTACTTGATTTGTTTTGTGATTTACAGTGAGTGTTAAGAAGAACCTGAGTAAGAAAAAATCCCGGCTCTTCCCCGAGGTGGAGTTTAAGAACCCGGCTAAGGACCTGTTTATCTGGGCTGTTCTAATGAATCGAATGAGTCTGGCAAAGCTTTTCTGGAAGATTGGAAAAGATCACATTGGTAAATTTTGTTTTTTTATGTAAAAATGGTGTTAACTTGTGTGGTCACTTCAATACTGGGTACACTTTCTCTGTTAATTTAAGCAATTCAGTTTTTCATAGAATATTGTAATGCATACCCAGTACAAAGCAAAATTAATACTTAAAAACCTTAATAACCTTTAATGTTGTACATAGTGTACAAATTTATGATATAATCTACAAAATATATATAGGATATTTAATGTTTTGTAGTTGGATATGGAATTAATTTCACTAGTAGGACAGAATTTTATTTGATATTTTCATGAATACAAAGTACAAGTTAAATTATCATAAAAATCCTGTCTCACAAGTGAGACAAGTGAGTGACTTTTTCTCTGTACATATATTATTTTTTACCTATTTCAGGTTCAGCTCTGTTTGCCAGTTGTCTACTAAATGAGCTGTCTGCCTTTGAGTTTTATGTATTATTTTTTACTTATTTAAGGGTCAGCTCTGTTTGCCAGTTGTCTACTGAATAAGCTGTCTGGATTTGAGTTTTATGTTTTATTTTTTACTTATTTCAGGTTCAGCTCTGTTTGCCAGTTGTCTACTGAATGAGCTGTTTGCCTTTGAGTTTTATGAATTATTTTAACCTGTTTTAGGGTCTGCTCTGTTTGCCAGTTGTCTACTGAAGGAGCTGGCTAAAGTTGCTGATGATGAGGAAGAAGTGGAACTCAGTGTTTCTCTGGAGCAAAACTCCATGTAAGTTCTTCCCTTACAAACATTTTTTAATGGGTGGGGTTTACTTAGAAACTTTATTTTATCAATACACAAAAATTCGATGTTCATCATATGAAGTGAAGTAAGGAGTATCATTTAAATATGAATAAACAGACTTATCCGTACATAGGGATGAATCAATATTCTTCATTTATAATAATTTTGTTTTTATTTTCAGGGAGTTTGAAAAATTAGCCTCAGAGATCCTTGGAATTTGTTCCATTCAGAATCGTGATCTAGCTCACCAACTCCTAGTAAGAGAACTAAATGAGTTTGGAAACACCACCCTGTTTTGTTTGGCGGATGAGAATGTTCTTATGGATTTCATGGGCCAGACATGTTGTCAGACCAAGCTCAATGCCATTTGGAAGGGTCGCATGGCTCTCTATACTTCTAGCATAAAGGTAATTTGTAATAGAATGACAGATTTATTATTTCATCGGGTTACATAAAATTTTGAATTCCAATTAAGTTAAAATGTTGATAGTACATGTTCTGGAAATTATATTTTATTATAATTTTAATATTTTACATTCATCTCAATCATCTTCAGTATACTGTTTTTCTTGGTTAATGATGTAATATTTCTTTCTTTATCAGATAGTAGCTTCAATATGCCTTCCATTCCTGATTCCTGCCATTAAGTTTGTGGACAAAAAAAGAATGGTTCATGAAGATGAATATGATGACTTGGCACCACTTCATCCCACCACTCAAGAGATGATAACGGAGCAGGATGCACCACCTAGCAATAGAGAGGGTCCAGAGGGGATAACAGGTGCCGGTGGAAAAGTGGCCCCAGTTCCAGAATCCAAAACAAAAATACTCAAGCGAAAGTTTAAAACTGTGACCTTGTTTGGTGGTAGTAAGGAAGGCGGGGAGGATATTAATTTGTTCCGTGCCATTTACTACTTTTACACTGCACCAGTAACCAAATTCACAACAGCAATGGTAAGATTTTTTTAATTTTCAGTTCACCAGAGTCACTCATTGTAAAGAAATTTGGATGAATGGATATTTGTTATCTATAAAATAAACACTGGAACTATGAAAATGATACATGTAGGTATTAATAAAATGAAGCAATTAAATGAAAGTTATACTTTAAAAAATCTTGTTTCAGTTTGCCAATATCTTGTTCCTGGGGTTGTTTTCCTTATTTGTGTTGACGGACCTGTATCCTATTGGTGAGAATGATGCTCCCTCTATCCCGGAATACCTCACCTGGATGTACACAGTCACCAGTGTTATTGAGGAACTCAGACAGGTACCTCTTAACTATGATTTTAGATAATTTATCAGACTATACAGTGAAAACTGTCTAATCTGACACCTGTGCAATCTGACACACTGTGAATTCCAACGTTAATTTTGTTCCCATTTTATTTTCCATGTTTTTTTTTTTTTTTACACTGTGCAATCCAACACTCTGTCTATTCCGATACAAAATTTGTCTCCCAGGTGCATGTCACATTAGACAGGTTTCACTGTATTTTCATAATTTGGCAATAAAAATGGAATTAGATACAATGATTTATGTTAATCCATGTATGTAGTCATTATATTAATTTTGTAAGAAGTAAAATTTAATTACATTGATAATGGTTTAACTTTTTTATTAGATATTAACCAGGGACCAGCGGTCTCTTCTGTACAAAATACGGAGTTGGTATGGTAGTGTGTGGAACCGTTTTGATTTCATCATGTACTTGACCTTTCTGACCTCTGTAATCCTGAGATTTTCCCTGAGTGGGGAGGACTTTATGTGGGCTCGTATGTTGTACAGTCTGACACTGGCAATGTACTTTATTCGCTTCATGCACTACTTCTATGCAGAGAAAAATATTGGACCTAAAGTCATCATGATCTCTAGAATGGTAAGATTTCTTATCGTGCTTACTAGCATGGCCATGTTTATTTTGTATACAACCTTGGTAGAATGCTCATTAAATGCTATAAATAATTTTTTGAGTGACTATTGTCACAAACGATAATCTTGTAATTATACCCCACGCAACAAGTTGCGTGAGGTATAATGTTTTTGACCCGTCCGTCAGTCAGTCAGTCAGTCAGTCAGTGTGTCAGTCAGTCAGTCAGTCAGTCCGTCAGTCCTGTTTTTTTGTCAGCGCAACTCCTCATAAACCGCTGCACAGAATTTCGTCAAACTTTGCAGATATTTAGGACACAATGTGTAGATGTGCATATTACCAGGAAATTCCGATTCCTTTATTTTTTCTCGGAATTTCGGCACTTTTCAACTTAGATTTTTGGCCATATCTTGAATATGGAGATGAACAGTTTGTCAGCGCAACTCCTCATAAACCACTGCACAGAATTTGGTCAAACTTTGCAGATATTTAGCACACAATGTATAGATGTGCATATTACCAGGAAATTCCGATTCCTTTATATTTTCTTGGAATTTCGGCACTTTTCAACTTAGATTTTTGGCCATATCTTGAATATAGAGATGAACAGTTTGTCAGCACAACTCCTCTTAAACCGCTGCACAGAATTTGGTCAAACTTTGCAGATATTTAGGACACAATGTGTAGATGTGCATATTACCAGGAAATTCCGATTCCATTATTTTTCTGGGAATTTCAGCACTTTTCAACTTAGATTTTTGGCCATATCTTGAATATAGAGATGAACAGTTTGTCAGCACAACTCCTCTTAAACCGCTGCACAGAATTTGGTCAAACTTTGCAGATATTTAGTACACAGTGTGTAGATGTGCATATTACCAGGAAATTCCGATTCCGTATTTTTCTGGGAATTTCGGCACTTTTCAACTTAGGTTTTTGGCCATATCTTGAACATAGAGATGAACAGTTTGTCAGCACAACTCCTCTTAAACCGCTGCACAGAATTTGGACAAACTTTGCAGATATTTAGTACACAGTGTGTAGATGTGCATATTACCAGGAAATTCCGATTCCATTATTTTTGCCTTAAGAGTTTTGCCTTTTGTTGAAGAAACTTTCCAGCTAGGTAATAAGAAACTCCACTGGAATCAGCTTTTTATAATGAAATTCTATGTGAAATATTTTATGACCTTAAAAGACCCCTATTGATTTTGAGATCAAAATATTAATGGTTTAACACAAACACACACTCACACACACACCATCTTCGATAGTTCTCTCTCCCCCCCCCCCCCCCCCCCCCCCCCCCTTCAAATTGGTGTGCTTTGCCTTAAATAATTTCATAAGTACAGTATATAAACAGATTCATATGACTACATCATAATTTTGTTTCCATCAATTATTTAAATGTGTAAACTATCATGTGTTGGACATGGACTTACACTCATTAACAAATCGAAATCACTGAGGAATTTAAATAACAGTTTGTCAGCATAATTCCGGCACTGAATTTCCTGAAACTTTGTAGGTATTTCAGAATAATGTATAGATTTGTATATTACCAAGAAATTTTGATTCCATTATTTATCTAGAATCTTCAGCCCAGTTAAATTTGTAACATACAAAGATTTGAATGTCCTTATATGCAAGAAGTTTTGATGTGATGATTTTTTGCAAGTAATGCCCCTTTTTTGAATTATACTGTGTATTTAAAATGCACTGTGCCATTCATTACGTGTTGCATTGTCGAGTTTTGGGGAAGCGTGGGGTATGTGAGCTTGCTCACTTTTTCTTTCATTATTCAGGAGGTTTCTCAATTCTTTATTATTTTGATACACCCTCTGTAAGTTAGCTGATAATGACAGACCTTTATTTTTTAATCAAGATTCCAAAATTATTTGAAAAAATATTCTTATGAAGAAAATATTATTTACAATAGATTCTATGCATCTACAGTATTGAATTTATTTTCAAAATATTGTTGCAAACTTTGGGATATACTTCATGAGTTGGAATTGGAAACTTGTGAGATAACTTGATGATTGTTGTGTATCTATTTAGTTGACAGATCTGATGTTTTTCCTGTTAATCCTGTTGGTATTTATCCTAAGTTTCGGTGTCGCCTACCACGCCAATCTGTATCCCAACTCCCCAAAGGAGTGGGTCCTCCTAAAGGATGTAGTGTATCACCCATACTGGCAGATGTATGGAGAACTCTTCTTAGAAAACAAAGAAGGTAAAGACTTAAACAAGTGGAGTTATCTAGAAGGTTTTATTTTTGAAGATTCCATTAATTTCACAAGAATTTAATTGTGAATCTTTAAAACTATGTACACAGTAGCAAGATGTTTATACAAGGGTTTTAGAGAAGGCAAACAAAAAAAATCCAAAGATGATGAATGAGTGTATACATATGAGGGCTTACTAAAATAAATACATTGCAGTATTTTATTACACATAAAATACATTTGCCCTTATTACTGCACACTTTTTGGTATCTCCTAGTATGAACCATGACCAGCTAGCTCCATAAATCCATTGGTAACAATTTAAAAATTTAAGAAAAATACAATTGAGAAGGGAAGTATGTTACTAGCTCCATCTTTTTTTTTTTTTAACACTGAAAAACACTTTTTCCTGCCATGCATGACAATGCCAAAGACTCAGTTTGTTCACTCCATTTTCAGAGTGTGTGTAGACTGCCAATATGCAGTTCTTTACGTCATTTATATGTTTTGGATTTTAATAGTTTGTTTTAAATGTGTGAATTTTTATTGTAGGTAATGACCCTTCAGCAGATGCTGGAACCTGCACTAGTAATGAGACTATTTGGAGGTCAGGTGAAGTGGATCGTTGTCCAGAAAAGAATGCCCTTGTTGTGTTGTTGATGGTTGTCTACATGCTGTTGACCAACATTCTTCTAGTCAACTTGTTGATTGCTATGTTTAGGTTAGATTAAAAATCTGCAAGTAAAATCCAATTCAATTCAGTTTATTTATTTACCAATTAAGGACCCTCAAGGGGCAACAGGAAAGTACAGAGTTTATACTTGTATAAGTTCATGTAAATGAAACCATAGAGGACACGCATGTATTACAAAACAATTTAAACAAAGAAAAACAAGTATCATACAAGTATCATACCAATTCCATACCTGGCAAAATTTTCCACTTATACATAATCTTGAAAAAAAGATATTAAGGTAACGTTAATTCTTACAGGTACCGGTACTTTATCTTTTTATTAATTTTATTTATGTTTTGCACAGTGACACCTTTCAGAAGGTTCAGGACAACTCTGAGAAGGTATGGCGGTACCACAGATACTCACTGGTTTATGAGTTTTACGAGCGACCAGCTCTGTTCCCCCCTCTCATCATCCTCAATCACTTGTTCCGAGCTATCAGATGGCTGATTAATAGATGTAGCAGCAGATGTTGTAAGAATGAAATCCGCACCAGAAACAGCTTCAGTAAGTGTAGGATTGTCATGTGGGCTTTCTGTTGTTAGATGCATTTTTCATAAAATTGTGTGAAGAAATGGGTGAGTGGGAGGAGGGGGGGGGGGGCTCCACTTTGCAATCCATTTGATTGAAATGACAATAAAAATTTTTAATCCCTTGTTGGGAAAATATTTTATAACATTGTAAACTAATGGTTATTTACTCAGGTCTCTTTGCCAAAGGTCAGCTATATGTGTGCAATTTTTTTTTTACCAACACTGAATTTCACTGTATGAATAAGTAGATGTATATCTGATTAATATGTTATAGTCAGTAATTATCCTGGAATTGCCATATGTCCCTCTGTTTGTATGTCTGTAGATTTTTTGTCTAGAGATCATTTTACATGGACAATAATCTTTAAACTGTAAGCAAGGTGAGAAGGGCCAAGTTGAGCATTGTGGCTTGTACTTAACTATGAACCAAGGTGATTTGGAGGAGGAGGAATTCATAGGGTACAAAAATATTATATTTAGCCAGAATTTTGAATGGAGAAACAATAATAGCTTATCATTGAGACAAATTTTGTTTGGGTCTGGAGTGAATGTTCTGACCCCAACACAAGGTTATTTAGACTAGGTCAAATTTTGAAGTGTATTTCTTGTCCATAGAAAAATTTTTATGGAATAAATTAAAAGATCATAATTTGCCTGAGAGTTGATTATGATCACAAGATATGTTCCTGAATAAAGATCATTTAGACAAGGTCAAGGTTGCAAAGTTCAGAAGTATAAATTCTGATGTAAAATTCTAAAAGACACAACTTTACTTGAAGGAACTTTAGTAGGTCATAATTGACTTAAGATTGATGGTGACTTAGACATCTGTTATGATTCTTAGCCATGATTGTTGGGTAAGGTCAAGGTCAGGAGTTAAATCTTCTTTGTCAAACTTTCTTACTCAACATAAAGGTTGCTCACTGCCAACCCTTAACCATCAAATCTTAAACCATTTATTAGGGCTGCAGGAAATTGCAATATATTTTTCACAAGATGACAAAGTTCTTTTTTAAGATATTTTAAAGTATAAACGTATGTTTTTCTTTGGTTGGCCTATGGTGGTATCAGGACAGTTCTAATTTTTAACTGTTGAATGGTATTTATCGAAATAATTGTGATGTTTGTACATTTACTTTAGCATGTTCCAATAATGAATTATTTTGTAATTTTCACGCCTTTAACAATGGGTATACAATCCCAGTGCACTCTTAAATTGTACCAGTACCTTCAACTTGTCTTAAATTGATTACAGTTATCTTAGAATTTTGTTTTGCTTACTCAGTGTTCCCTGTGATTCTTCACTCCACGAGAAAAATTTCAATAAAAAGATTTAAAATGCTGGCTTAGTTTGATGTGACAAAGTAGCTATTACTTTTAATCACAGTAGTTTTACTTCTTAATGAATATTGCACTTTTATTGTTTATACAGTGTCACATTAGAAGAGTTCCATTAAATAAACATTATTATTAAAAATGTATTAAAACTGTGTTGTATTGATCTGTCCCTTCTGTATGGAATGCTCTCACGTGTCTTATAATGTGTTACAGAATTAAAGCTGAGTGAGAAGGATCTGATCAGGCTGTCTCTGTTTGAACGGGGAGCAATGGAGGAACATCAGCACTCCGTGTTCTCACTAGAGAATGACAAAATAGACAAGAAAATAGAGACCACATCAGAAAGGTACAATATACTCCCACTGATAAAAAATAGAGACCACATCAGAAGGTACTATATACTCCCGTTGATAAAAAATAGAGACCACATCAGAAAGGTACAATATACTCCCATTGATAAAAAAAAAATAGACACCACATCAGAAAGGTACAATATACTCCCATTCAATTTGATAAGAAATAGAGACCACAACAGAAAGGTACAATATACTCCCATTGATAAAAAACAGAGACCACATCAGAAAGGTACAATATACTCCCATTGATAAAAAATAGAGACCACATCAGAAAGGTACTATATACTCCCATTGATAAAAAATAGAGACCATGTCAGAAAGGTACTGTATACTCCCATTGATAAAAAATAGAGACCACATCAGAAAGGTACAATATACTCCCACTGATAAAAAATAGAGACCACATCAGATAGGCACTATATACTCCCTTTGAAAAAAAATAGACACCACATCAGAAAGGTACAATATACTCCCATTGATAAAAAAATAGAGACCACATCAGAAAGGTACAATATACTCCCATTCAATTTGATAAGAAATAGAGACCACATCAGAAAGGTACAATATACTCCCGTTGATAAAAAATAGACACCACATCAGAAAGGTACTATATACTCCCATTGATAAAAAATAGGGACCACAACAGAAAGATTCTGTATACTCCGACTGATAAAAAATAGAGACCACATCAAAAAGGTACAATATACTCCCACTGATATTAAATAGAGACCACATCAGAAAGGTACAATATACTCCCACTGATAAAAAATAGAGATCACATCAAAAAGGAACTATATACTCCCTTTGATAAAAAATAGAGATCACATATACTACCATTAATAAAAAATAGAGACCACGTCAGAAAGGTACTATATACTCCCACTGATAAAAAATAGGGGACACATTAGAAAGGTACTATATACTCCCACTGATAAAAATTGAGACCACATCAGAAAGGTACAATATACTCCCATTGATAAAAAACAGAGACCACATCAGAAAAGGTACTATATACTCCCATTGATCAAAAATAGAGACCAAATCAGAAAGATACAATATACTCCCATTGATTAAAAAATAGAGACCACATCAGAAAGGTTCTATATACTCCCATTGATAAAAAACAGAGACCACATCAGAAAGGTACTATATACTCCCATTGATAAAAAAAATAGAGACCACATCAGAAAGGTACAGTATACTCCCATTGATAAAAAAAATAGAGACCACATCAGAAAGGAACTATATACTCCCTTTGATAAAAAATAGAGATCACATATACTACCATTAATAAAAAATAGAGACCACATCAGAAAGGTACTATATACTCCCACTGATAAAAAATAGGGGACACATTAGAAAGGTACTATATACTCCCACTGATAAAAATTGAGACCACATCAGAAAGGTACAATATACTCCCATTGATAAAAAACAGAGACCACATCAGAAAAGGTACTATATACTCCCATTGATCAAAAATAGAGACCAAATCAGAAAGATACAATATACTCCCATTGATAAAAAAATAGAGACCACATCAGAAAGGTTCTATATACTCCCATTGATAAAAAACAGAGACCACATCAGAAAGGTACTATATACTCCCATTGATAAAAAAAATAGAGACCACATCAGAAAGGTACAGTATACTCCCATTGATAAAAAAAATAGAGACCACATCAGAAAGGTACTATATACTCCCATTGATAAAAAAAAATAGAGACCACATCAGAAAGGTACAATATACTCCCACTGATAATAAATAGAGACCACATCAGAAATGTACAATATACTCCCACTGATAAAAAATAGAGATCACATCAGAAAGGAACTATATACTCCCTTTAATAAAAAACAGAGATCACATATACTCCCATTAATAAAAAAACAGAGACCACATCAGAAAGGTACTATATACTCCCATTGATAAAAAAAAAAAATAGAGACCACATCAGAAAGGTACAATATACTCCCACTGATAATAAATAGAGACCACATCAGAAATGTACAATATACTCCCACTGATAAAAAATAGAGATCACATCAGAAAGGTACTATATACTCCCTTTAATAAAAAAATGGAGATCACATATACTCCCATTTATAAAAAATAGAGACCACATCAGAAAGGTACTATATACTTCCACTGATAAAAAATAGAGACCACATTAGAAAGGTACTATATATACTCCCACTGATTAAAATTGAGACCACATTAGAAAGGTACTATATACTCGTATTGATAAAAAATAGAGACCACATCAGAAAGGTACTATATACTCCCATTGATAAAAAATAGAGACCACATCAGAAAGGTACTATAAACTCCCTTTGATAAAAAATAGAGATCACATATACTCCCATTAATAAAAAATAGAGACCACATCAGAAAGGTACTATATACTCCCATTGATAAAAAATACAGATCAAATCAGAAAGGTACTATAAACTCCCTTTGATAAAAAATAGAGATCACATATACTCCAATTGATTAAAAAATAGAGACCACATCAGTAAGGTACAATATACTCTCACTAATAAAAAAAATTAGAGACCACATCAGAAAGGTATTTACTGTAACCATGCATCCTCTCATTGATGAGAAAATAAGACCACATCAGAAAGGTTCTTTATACATGTATTACCATTGATAAAATATTAGGGACCACATTGAAATTTCCTCTCATTGATTAAAAAGTTAGGAACACATCAGAAATGTACAGTTTACTTCCTCCTGTTGGTAAGAAGAAAATAGAGGTCACATCAGATAGATACTGTAATCTTCCTCCCATGGATATCAGAAATGACACAAATCTCTTACATTTATAGTATCTGTCCTTAATAATGGAATTAGTCTTTTACTGTAATAATATCATTTATAGTCACTGTGGTTGATGAGAAAATTATGTTTTATTAAATGTGCATCCATAATATTTTACAGTAGAAAATTTTATTGCAAACATGTCTTAAGTGAAAACCCCTATTAAAACAAAATTTTTATCAACAAAGAAATACGAAGTTTTGATATATCCAGTTTTAAAGTTTATTTTTAGAAACTGATTTTAGGCTTAATGTTGATTTTATTTTAGGCTTGACAGAGTAATAGAAGAACTGGACAACATAAAAGACAATGTGATGGCAAAGGAGAAGATGATGGGAGGAGAGGTTCCAATCACAGCTAGATCCACTTCTATGTCCAATGTAGAACCAGAAGTCTACTCAGCCAGGTAAATATACACATCTGGTTAGATACTAGCAACCAAGTCAATCTGATTGGATACTGCACACAGCCAGGTAAATAGGTACTAGCAACCAGGTCAATCTGATTGGATGCTGTATCCAGCCAGATAAATATACACATTTGGTTAGGTACTAACAACCAAGTCAATCTGATTGGATGCTGTATCTAGCTAGGTAAATATATACTAACAACCAGGTCAAATCTGATTGGATGCTGCACACAGCCAGGTAAATAAATGCATTTGGTTAGGTACTAACAACCAAGTCAATCTGATTGGATGCTGTATCTAGCTAGGTAAATATATACTAACAACCAGGTCAAATCTGATTGGATGCTGCACACAGCCAGGTAAATAAACACATTTGGTTAGTTACTAACAACCAAGTCAATGTGATTGGATGCTGAATCTAGCTAGGTAAATATATACTAACAACCAGGTCAAATCTGATTGGATGCTGCACACAGCCAGGTAAATAAATACATTTGGTTAGGTACTAACAACCAAGTCAATCTGATTGGATGCTGTATCTAGCTAGGTAAATATATACTAACAACCAGGTCAAATCTGATTGGATGCTGCACACTGCCAGGTAAATAAATACATTTGGTTAGGTACTAACAACCAAGTCAATCTGATTGGATGCTGTATCCAGCCAGATAAATATACATATTTGATTAGGTACTAACAACCAAGTCAATGTGATTGGATGCTGTATCTAGCTAGGTTAATATATACTAACAACCAGGTCAAATCTGATTGGATGCTGCACACGGCCAGGTAAATAAATACATTTGGTTAGGTACTAACAACCAAGTCGATCTGATTGGATGCTGTGTCCAGCCAGGGAAATAAACATATGATGGGATTTTACTGTATAAAAATGAACAATGGAGAAAGTGGACATGTAAAAGCCAGGTGAATGATTGAATACTACATAGAGCTGAAAAAAGGAAACATCTAATTAGATATTGTATATAAGTTATAAAAAGAAAGTATGTTAAATATTGTAAAATTGTTATGTACTTTATTGTATGTTTCATAGATTTGAAAAGACAGTACATAAGAAATCTAGACAGGTGGCTAGAAAAACTGGTCGTATCCAGCATTTACTAATTAATATAAAAGAAATAGTTTTCATAGGAAATAAAGGAGAAAAACTTCAGTGGATGTAAATATAAAATCTTTAAAAAAAAAAGAAAAGATAACATTTTTCAATTTCCATTGACAGGAAAACTCACTCACAGTTGGAGGTGGAAGTGGACCAGTTATCAAATTTTGTTCGGGAAAACATGCATGATCTGAATGCCTCAATAAGACGACTGGAAAAACTCATTTTAGCATCCACAAAACAGAAGCAACAAACTCTGGACATTTCACATTTTCAGACTTCAGAAAGCTAGATAGAGATCATCTCATTTGGGCATTAGCATTTGTGTGAAAAATGGTTGATATCTGATTGGCCTATAATGGTTTGTAAATATACTTTCCATGTGATTGAAAGATCTACGTTTTTTGTAATGTTATATCACTCCATTTATATTTATTTATTTAAACTCTGAGGTATTTTATATAAGAATTTTAATTTAAAAAAATACTAATTATGTGTTTACTCCCAGAATTTGACATCATATCAGATGAAATGTTCTTAAATATTCATTCATTGAAAATGCTATTATCTCTGCATATGATGAAATTCTTAACATTTAAATAAGGTTGGATTTTAATATTTACTAACATTTAGTTCATCTTGCAATACATATCAGTGTATTTATTGGTGCCTTTATAAAACAAAGAAAAAGAGACTAAGCAAGAGATTTCTGTATGTGTGTGTTAGAGTGAGCAAATTCTGCATTTTCAAATGATTGTGTACATCAGCTGGTGTTCTTATTGATGATAATGAATCATATAATGCTCAGTTTTTTAAATTTATTGGGTACTTAACTGTGATATTATTTTTTTTAACTGTATGTGTATATGTGTTTATATGAATTCTCCATTTTGATGAATATAAAAAAAATCTCATTTTTGTATAGCAGCAATTTTTGAAAATGATCTTTATTATATTTTTCATAAAAATGTAAAATTTCATTAATTAATGTTTCGTAGAGAAACATGAAAGAAGCATCAGTGAAACTAAAACAGAGAACCAAAGCTTAATATTATACCAAAAATTATAATAATAAACAGTACATGATCTAGGGTCATTTTTGAGACTAGCTAATTACACAAGAGGCACCATTGTTTATCTTATTTCTTGTAGAGAATGTAGTTACACATTTAAGTAATTATTAATGCAACTTAAAAAATATAAATTAAAAATCTTGTCTTTCACTTTACAATAATTCTGACTTTAACCCAATTGTTATCTATTGGAAAATGATTGTTTTAATTTTGTACCTTGCAGGTTGTGTTTCTGATATAAATGTATGTTTTAACCTTGCAGCAATGTTAATATCTGTCTGTAATCCGTCCTTTTTGTCTTTACAGCTGGTTATTTTGCAGTAGAATTTTATGGTTACTTGTTGCAAATGTTTGATAATTGATATTGATCATTAGTAATACTTCAAACCAGTATTCACTAAATAATGTACTTTTAAATACTACATGCAATGTATCAGAAAAAAAAGAGTTGTTTTCATTATTGAAAAAGGAGAAGTGGTTTAAACTGGAAGGGTAGAATTCCCTGTGATTGAGGTTAAGGCTGCAGTAAAAAGGTTTTTTTTTTTTAAAAAAAAAAAAAAAAAAAAGAAGAAGAAGAAAAAAGAGACCCATTGGCCACAATGCTCATCTGAGTCATCTTGGCCCTGCTGTTCTGCATCAGATTTTGTACAGTAAAACTCGTTTAGTACAAACATGGTTATAGGAAATTCACGGATATAGCGAAGTTTTTCGGGGTCCCCAGCAAAATTCTTAACAATTCTTTGTAAAAGGAGATGGGCGAACATAGCATGCAGAAAGCCTATTAGCTTCAGATATATAAAAACCATGTTCAGTTTGTAAATTTAGTATTTAGAGTAAAGTTCTCATTATTGAAATTTATGAAATTATGATAAACAAAACTTTTCTCATGAAAATTTTGTCGGCAAAATTTATTCTTTTATTAAAAAAATAATGTGGTATTTGTGGGGTTCGAACCCTACCAATAAAAATCCTGAGTATCTTTTCTTTCGTGACCAGCACGCTAACCACTAGACTACGCAAGTCCTGATGAATAGTGACATTTAAATCATGTTTGTGATATGACCCTTGACTTAATGGACTTCAAGTATTTCTCGAAAAGATGCGAATGTTATGTCATAAAAGTATATTTTTAAGGTATAGTGGGTCTTTGCTCCATATTTTTGGAAACCAAAAAATGTATATTTTTATGCAAACTTTGAGGATTAACTTTCAAAAAAATGGAGGGAAGACCCACTCATATCGAAAAATAGTTTTATAGTATGAGAAAATGACTTTTTGCCCTCTTTAGTGTGTGTATAACATTTCATAAGCAAATTATTTCAATCTTTGTGAGATTTTTGCAAATTGTAGAGATTTTACATAAGTATATTTTAATGTAAGATGAAATATCAAGGAAAATTTTTCACCTTCATGTTTGTCACACTATAGGCTTTTTGCTCGTCATGTTCACCCATCTTCTTTTATGGTTATAACGAACTCTGATATAACGAATTTATGGATATAGCAAACTGATTTTGAGTCCTGTAGTAGTAGAAAATAATGTAATTTACATCTTTTAGAACGAATTTTCAAAGATCTCAAAATTTGATATATTGAACTGACTTTATTTTCGTTAAGTATTTGTATATAAAATTCAATTCATAATAAAACCTTAGTTATCCAAGGTATGTTTTGTGATCGCTTCCCTAACATATTCAGTAGTAATACTTGAAGGAAAACGTGTATATTGCAAATTTCCTATATATACTTACACGCGTGCGAAAAATATTCGCGAGTTTCGCGACCTACCCTAACTCGCGAATATTAATCGCCACGAACCATTTATTTTGCTTTGTATTTGTTAAGAATGTTTCCTCAGTCGCGAAAATTAATCGTTGCAGATTGATTTCAATCTGACAAATCGCGAGTAAAAGTTGACACGAATAATAGTTGGTTTACAGTATATGAATTCGTTATACGGATATAACAAATGATGGATATATTGAAGTAAATTCACAGGTCCCCAGGACTTCGCTATAACCAAGTTTTACTGTATTCCTTATGTAAAATTTTCTTTTCATACACAGGGGAAAAAATGATTTGAACAAAATGAATCTACATTACCAGAGGATGCTTCCACATTAATGTGATTCATCATTATATAATCCCTATTGTGTACCTACCCAGGGTTGTCTCTAAGACCCTGGGGCCAGTGAATTTCCCCACCTATAATGATGCAATCCCCCGGTTATTTTGGTATTCCTCCTAAACTCCCCATTACGGGAGGAACTCCAGAACCCTTTTACTTTTTAAATGTCCCTTTCTATTTCAATTCTTAGGGACAACCCTGCTACCCTACCCCCAGGGACAATGATCTAAACAATTTCAATCTACACTGCCTCAGGAAACTTTCAATGAAGTTTCATCTTTTCTGGCTCATTGGTTCTTGTTGAGATTTTAAAATATTTTTCCTATATATTTCGATGTAAAACTTTGATCCCCTATTGTGGACCCATCCTACCCCCAGGGTAAATAATTTGAACAATTTGGAATCTACACTACCCCAGAAAGCTTCCACATAAGTTTCAGCTTTTCTCGTCCAGTGTTTTTATACCCCACGCAACAAGTTGCGGGGGGTATAATGTTTTTGACCCTTCAGTCAGTCCATCCGTCAGTCCTGTTTCTTTGTCAGCGCAACTCCCCTTAAACCGCTGCACAGAATTTCGTCAAACTTTGCAGATATTTAGGACATTGTAGTTGTGCATATTGCCAGGAAATTCCGATTCCATTTTGTTTTTTTTTTTGGGGGGGGGGGGGGGGCACTTTTCAACATAGATTTTTGGCCATATCTTGAATATACAGGTAGAGATGAACAGTTTGTCAGTGCAACTCCTCTTAAACAGCTGCACGGAATTTCGTCAAACTTTGCAGATATTTAGGACACAGTGTTTAGTTGTGCATATTCCAAGGAAATTCTGATTCCTTTATTTTTCCGGGAATTTCGGCACTTTTCAACTTACATTTTTGGTTATATCTTGAGTATAGAGATGAACAGTTTGTCAGCACAACTCCTCTTTAACAGCTGCACAGAATTTTGTCAAACTTTGCAGATATTAAGGACACAATGTGTAGTTGTGCATATTGCCAGGAAATTCCGATTCCATTATTTTTGGCCTTATAGAGTATTGGCTTTTATTGAAGAAACTTTCCATCCTCGTAATAAAGAAATACACTGGAATCAGCTTTTGTAATAAAATTTCATGTGACCTATTTTATGACCTTAAAAGACCCCTATTCATGTTGAGATCAAAATATTAATGATTCAACAGACACCTACAAAAAATCTTGGATAGAAGTACACAAAAAGTCCCCCCCCCCCCACACACACACACACATGCACACTCACACACCTCGAATTAGTGCTTTGCTTTAAATAATTTCATAAGATTTGAATGTCATTATATGCAAAAAGTTTTGATGTGAGGATTCTTTGCAAGTAATGCCCCTTTTTGAATTATACTGTGTATTTTAAGTGCACCATGCCATTCATTATGTGTTGCATTGTAAAGTTTTGGGGAAGTGTGGGGTATGTGAGCTTTCTCACTTTTTCTTCCATTTTTTAAAGATTTTTTCTAAATATTTCAATTTAAAACTTTTTTTTACCTATTGTGGCCCCACCCTGGGGACCATGATCTGAACAATTACAATCTACACTACCTCAGGAAGATTTTCTTTTCTTGCCTAGCAGATCTCGAAATCTTCAGTTCTTAAGGGATTTGTAAAGATTTTTCCAATATATTTCAATGTAAAATTTTGATCCCCTACTGTGAACCTACATGTACCCTACCCCCAGAGGATATGATTTGAACAATTTAGAATCTACACTACCTCAGGAAGCTTCCATTCATGTTTCAGCTTTTCTGGCCTAGTGGTTCTTGAGAATTTTTTTTTAATGATACCTCGATCCTTATTTTTGCCTTTTCTTGATTATCTCCCCTTAGAAGGGGGGTTGGTCCTTCATTTTAATAATTTAGAATCCCCTTTACCCAGGGATTCTTTGTACTAAGTTTGGTTAAAATTGGCCCCATGGTTCTTAAGAAGGCGTTGAAAATATGAAGAGTTTACAGAGGGGTGGATGCTGGACAATGGGTGATCAGAAAAGATCACTTGAGATTTCAGCTCAGGTGAGCTAAAAGGTAATCAAGGATTATAAAGTTCACCTCAACAAATGTTATATTTCAGTAAGGCAAAGTCTCATACTAATTGAATGTTCTGGTAGTGTGCATTCCAAGATGCATCATTGATGCAAGTTTGGTCTGGATAGGATTATGAGTTGCATGTAGTTGGGAATGGATTTGCTCCAAAGTTTTTCTGTTCAATCATCCAGAAAATGTAAGATTCAGAAGTCTGGTGTGCATCTCTAGATGCATCATCCATGCAAGTTTGGTCAACACAAGGCTTACAGTAAATAAATTGATTGATAAAGCTATGTTGCTCAAGAGAAAGACAATGATCAGGGATCAAGAAAATATTTAGTCTAGTGCCCAGTGACAAATTTTGAAGTAGATCTGTCTACTTGCCTGTACTTGCCCCCATTTGTCACTATCATCATGCAAACTAAATCATTAGTGAACCCATCTCATTCCCTCTCATAATGGCTTCTCTGGTCTTTGAAGAACATTTAATACATACAAAGACAAGGTATTTTTGTCTCATTTTTATTTATCTGTTATTTACAAGTCTATGTGACCATTCAAAAACAATTGAAGGTACTTTTTGTATTAAATATTTTAAAAAATTCTGTTATAATTCTCTTATTTAATTGACCTTTCAATGACATTATTTACAGTAATTAATTATAATAGATGAATAGCAAAGGCGAATAACTTCTCTCAGAAAAATCTCAAACTCGAAGGGACTGAGAAAATACTTCCAGATAATTGAGGATTCGAGATATTCAGGGTAAAATACTCAAGGAATAAGCAGATGGGACTTCAAAATGACTTCGACATATCCATGGTGTTTGAGATATCCATGTTCGAGATACTGAGATACTGAAGTTCAACTATACATTCATGGAGCCCTGCCCAGCAGCAAAACACTTGACCAAGTGGTCCAGAATGTGGTAAAAATACCCTTGCTTATTACAACTTCATATTCTGCTGCCAAGGAGCAGAGCAGAAGATTTTCGAAGAAATAATGCATTTTCACTATCGATTCAACACAACCCCACCCTAACACCAAAATCTCTGACCCAGGAGCCATGACATTCACAATTTTGGAAAAAAGCACACTTGCTCATTATAACTATGCACTTAGTTTATCTGCTAAATACCCAGGAGCACAGAGGAATATTTTCAAAGAATTAATGCATTTTCAAATATAATTAATAGAGCCCCACCCTAACACCACAGCCACTGACCCAAGAAACTCATAATTTTGGAAGAAGCACCCTTGCACATGACTAACTATGCATTTGGGAGCAGAGAAGATTTTCAAAGAAATAATGCATTTTTACTACATACTCAACAGAGCCCGACCCTTACACCAAAACCCAAAGACAGGGGCTATGAATTTCATAATTCTGAAAGAAGCATCCTTGCTCATCATAATCATGCAATTGGTTTGTCTGCTAAATACCATAGGACAGAGAAGGTATTTAAAGAATATATGCATTTCACCATCTATTAGAGACCTGCCCTTACACCAGAACCCCTTACCAAGGGGCCAAGAAATTCATAACTTTGGAAGAGGCACCCTTGATCCTCCAAACTATGTTTAGTTTATTTGCTAAATACCCAAAAGCAGAAAAGATTTTCAAAGAATAAATGCATTTTCACTATATAATCAATAGAGCCCTGCCCTAACACCAGAACCCTCGACCCTGGGGCAATCAAATTCTTGATTTTGGATAAGGCACCATTGTTTATCATTACCATGCACCTAGTTTTTTCCTTAATACCAAGAAGCAGAGAAGATTCAGAGCAGACAAGAAATAATGCATTTACAGTTTACACTATATATTCAATACAGCTTCACCCTCTTTCCAGCATAAGAGGTGCTGACCCTGGGGCCACAAATTTAATATTTTGGAAGAGGTACTCTTGTCCATTATAACCATGCACTTAGTTTATCACTTATTACCCAGGAGCAAGAAAAAATTTCAAAGACAAACTGCATTTTCAATAAATTATCAATAGAGCCCTGCCCTAACACAAGAACCCCCTATTCAGGGGCCAAGAAATTCACAATTTTGGAAAAGGCACCCATGCTCATCATAACTATGTACTTAGTTTGTTTAATGCCCCAGAGCAGAAAAGGGTTTAAAAAATATGCATTTTCACTACATATTTACTTTCCAAAAAAAAAAAAAAAAAAATTTTCACTATATACATTTTAATCAATAGAGCCAAGGCCTAACACCAGATACCCTGACCCTGGGACCATGAAATTCACAATTCTGGAAGACACACCCTTGCTTGTCATAACCTTGCACTAAGTTTTTTTGTTGTGAATACCTCGGAGCAGAGAAGAAGATGCAAGATTTTCAAATAATGCAGTTTCACTTTATAATCAATAGAGCCCCCCCCCACACACACACACATCAGAACCCCTGACCCCACAAATTTCACAATTTTAGAAGAGGCACCATTGCTCATCATAACCATGCACTTAGTTTATCTTTTAAATATACAGGGGTAGAGAAGATTTTGAAGAATTTATGGATTTTCACTATATGATCATTATAGCCCTGCCCCAAACTCCAATGGTTATGTGACAAACTTTAATCTATCCTGTGAAAGATACGCCTATCAATGCTCAAATAGAGTTAAATAAAGAACCATCTACCCGTAATGTATTACAATAGTAACCTGTAGAGAAATCACAAACAGTAACTTTGGAAATGATGATTTATTTGACGCCATATAAGCTGCTGCAGAAATGAAGGGTCTACATCATAAACTAACGCCATTCACACCTAAATACCATTATTGCACATGACACTCAAAATTAAAGGAACTTATTATCACATACATGTATATCAATATCTTTAGTCTCAACATGTATACACCCATAAGCTAATCAAAATGTACATTATGCCATCCTGTGGTTTTGTGAATTGTTATCATTTTAAAATCTATTCAAAATGTGCTAGTGTTAATAAACAACACACATTTATGAAGGAACTTCAAAGAAAGAATGTTAACAGTTAAGTCAATATTTTTGTTACAATGCAATTCATATGTCTTTAAAAATAGATTTATTTTTGTGAAATGTACAACTAAAACAGTATATTTTAACACAACCATTCTTACTTGTCTTTCACGTAAGTCTGTACATACATATACACCCTCATACTAATAAATTCACAATTAATGTACTATACTTATAAATTCTTGTTAATTAAATTTTATAAGATATACTAGTAATTAAGTAAATAATCTGAGCAAATGTTAGAACTGCTACGTCACAAAACTATTAATTATGTCAAACAATTTAATACAAACCAGATTTACCCATTCATTCTGTTAACACACTCATCTTTCAGTTCTTGAAAAATAAACTCTGAAGTATTATGACTAGATAATGAATTACACGACAGGAAATGAAAAAAATATGATTTAAAGCTTAAAGTACACATTTCTATTAGACAATTATTTTTCAGACAGAAATCTAAAGGAGTGTGGGACTTATTTTGTCTTATAATCATCTGAACTTACATGCAACACAATCATTTACTTTCTATAGCTGTCAAAACATAAACTGGTAAATAATCTGTTTACATTTAAAGCTGCATAAAAACAGCTACTAAATTAAGTGGTCTAATAATATGTACAGCACTCAACTTAAAAATTATCAGTATGAATTCAATAAATTACATTCAAATATAATTTGTGTATAATTAATTTTCACAGGTATATTTTAGCAATATCAGACTTGAGCAATAGTACCCAATGTTACCATTCAACTGTTTGGTGATAAAACTGTTGTATTTATTAATATATTATCAAAGTATAACTATCTAAGTTCAATAATCAACCAACAGCAACAAAAAATTGCCTTTCTATATTTACCACCACAAAAATTTGGTGAAATGATGTGGTACCATACAGTTCTGTATATACATGCATTAATTCAATTATTTTCCATCTATTAACTATTACCTTGTAGATTTAAATATTGATACTGCCTCAGTAACATGTAACAAATGTGTTCTCAAAATTAAAAACATGAATGGCTAGAATAAAATTTTATCAATATATTTGTTTTAAAATGTAAAAAAAAATAAATAAATAAAACATGTGTATTTACTTCTAAATTTACCGCAAAATTAAGCAATTTTAACTCTAAATTTTAACATTTAAATGTGATCTATTTATGGAAGAATCCTCTTTCTTAGCCAAGTGTTTCTGATATGCTTCGTCTTACAAACCCTTGGCCTATTGTACTACAATGCATCAAATTCAGTATTTTTTTATGTAAATGTAATTGGATTCAATTGATATTGCTTGACTAATCAAAAAATGCATTTCAAAGTTCCTAGTCTTTGGCAAAATCAGCAATCAGGTGTTTGACTACTACTTGACAACATGTCACTCGGAACAAACAGCTAACTTAATGATCCATATGATAACTTCCAGTATTGGTGATTTTATAATTAGCACAGTCATCATTTGATTTAGTAGCTTTATTTACTCTGAAGTGTACATGACAGATTTTTGACTGCATCCTATCATATAATGATCTCTCAATCCCTAATATTCTTTCAATACTTCAATTTCCCAACTCTCCTCAACTTTGTCAATGTATACACTCAGAGGTAGAAATCATGTGGAATAAACAAGAGTTTGTAGGGATGTGTGTCAGAAACACCTGACTAGCCAAGAGGAATAAACTCCAAATAAATTGTATTAAATGCATTGGTCTTCCTGAGCTACTTTTTAAAAAAAAAAAATTTACTGTTTGTGTGCTGTTCCGATTTGAAATGTGAATCTAAAAGTTGAAAAAATATTTCTAGTCCAAAACTTTGAACAAATTGTATAGAAAATTAAAATTCAGCTGAACTATCTAGTAATAACAATAAATACAGATTATGCAAACAAACCCCAATTAAAATGAAAGTAAATATAATGAGATATAGCTGTAGAGTACTAGTACTGAAATACATGTGTAGCATTCTGACCAATCACTTCACAAAAAATTCATTTTTCTCGGTGCTTTAACCATAGTTAATCGCACTTGCATTATTCCACAGAGTGTCATGTTACTGTAGACGCTGCCTTCACTTCTAATAACAGAGTTCTGGCTTGATCCCATTGAGGATTATCCCTGCTGGGTGAATTTCTTGTAGATGTGGCGAGTTCTTCCTTGGTTAGCCCTCGCTGTTTTGTCCTGTCAACCTTCACAAGCATCAACATTGATAAAATACTGTTAGAAAGTGGCCAGACTCCTTCAGTGTATGAAATAGCACACACAAACACACACACAAGGTACAGGTTACAATGTGGTGGAGCAGAGCTGGAATTACACAGGTGTGGATCCAAGATCATGCTTCATACTATCATGTGTCTGGGTTTTCTACAACAAAAGAACATGCTGTTAGAGAAAATTTATATTTGTTAAATTTCAAAATCCAGGATCTAATAAGTGGACAAAAGAATAGAGCATTTCTGGAGAGAAAAAAAAACCCACACAATAGAAAAGTGCATTTCTACCAAAAACAAAAAAAACAAAAAAAAAAACAAAAAAATTAAGATTGCCTGTATCTGCTATGAAATACAGTACTCTAATTTTTGCTCATGATGCAAAGTCAAAGTTACACTGACTTCATTTCAATTAATGATCATTATGAATTGTTGACTGCCTTATTAGTGTATTACTTAAAAGGAAGAATATACATAAAGGTCTCTTCAATAAACATTGCACAGGTGCTAAATTTTTTTAAAATTTTAATGGCAATTTTTACCATTATGAAAATAATTATTGGATACCGACTCATTTTTGATTCTCCTACTATTTAGAGTTACATAGGACTACGAAATATTTTCATCACCATGTCAATCAGTAGTGGTTAATTGTAGTTGATCATCATTTCTTTAGAACACTGGCAAATGCCCAAGGTTTGATGAATGAAGAAGTGAAAAATTTATATCTCAATCTTAATTTTTTAATATATATTTTAGCTCATATTAAAGCATACTTCATGTAAAATCTCCACATATCTATCATTAGTATAAATGAAAGCCCAAGGATATCCTATGACAAATATGATAAAAATTGGCCAGAGGATTCTTGAGATTTAGCCCAAATCCCTAAAAGTTTACACACACCACATACCAGGCCATAGCCTTTGGCTCTGAAGAGCTAAAAATATTGAAATTCTACTATAAAACAGCATACACACATCAATGGGCAAAAAATGCTCATTTCTTCATGCCAGAAAACAATTTTCCATACCAGTGGGTCTTCTCTCCATATGAAAATATATCTTCAAAGTATGCATTAAAATTTTTCTAATAACAAAAACATGGAGTAAGGACCCACTATATCTTAAAGTAATATTTAGAGAACGAGACAGGTACTGTATCGTAGATACAAATTTGGGGGTGGACAAGTGCGTAGCACGAGTCTCCACCCCCAAATTTGTATCTACGATACAGAACCTGTCGAGTTCTCTAAATGATTTGTGACATGATCAATAAAAAAAAAGCACCGTCCACTTCGTAGCATCCAAACTTCCGCCAAAGTTCGTTTGTTCTCTCTGTGGATGAGGCCTCTACGGGGAGTATACATCCACAGTATATATATTTCACGGACAACGTAAGATTAAGTCAGATTAGTTTTGACGACGGAGTAGACGTAACAGACTTGAAGTGATTTAACCTTGTTGTAGGTGGAGATTGATCCTAATTTATTTCAGGGGTCTTATAATCTCAGTTAAACTAGATACACATACAGGCGATACAGACAGTTTTTTCGATGGACTTTGATGTTACGGATTTTTATTTTCTTATTAAAATGCGACATAAAAAACGAAGTGAAAGAGATGTGTGGCAGTCGTCAGCGATAAGGATTTAACAATGTTTAAGATGAAGTTAAAAAAACCCTGAAAAATGGACTTGAGTTTGCACGAGAAGAGTGGAGAATGGGGGAGGGGGAGTGCGAATTTCACCTAATGTATGCTGCATTTGCGAACCCATTGGCTTTACTATTTTGAAAGGGGCACAAAAAGCAGGGAAAGCAAACAGGTTTTCAGGAATTTATCCAACATAGGTCATTTCCATAATTGCGAATTTTCCTTTTCGTTTGGATCGAAATAACGTGTAGATTCTGTGTGGAATAATTTTTAAAAGTGATTGAGAAATTTTGACATTTTACATGCCTAAGGAAATGTTTCTTCAAAATTTATAATAGGAAAAAAAAATCAGCATTTACTATTAGTACGTGTTTTTGATATATTGAATCAGATTTATTTTTAGACCGTGCTGTATTTTAGATAGAGTACAGTTGGCTAATACAAGACAGTATACAGGGCTAATACAGAACGGAAAGTAGCTCCGGCCACTGTTGTCTCGTTCTGTATTGCTAATACAGAACAGCAAACTTCAAAGAAAAACACCACAATCGTGTCACAGAATACACTTTTATAACACAAGAAAATTTTAGTCCAGTTTTAGTCCAAGATTTAAATGCCATTATCTGTTATGAAATGTGTGGTTTTTTGGTTCACATGTCAGTCTCAATGAATAGACTAATACTCAGCATTTTTATTGCCCCATGGAAACTACAATTTCTTCCCCCTCAATAATTTTTGCCGAGAAATTTTTCTGCAGAAAATTATTGTTTGTAGTCATTTCATACTTATAAATTGGAAGAACTTTGCCATAAATACTTAGGTCACAAAATGAATTTGATTTTTATACATTCAAAGATACAGGCATTTCCAACACCTTACAGGTCCAAGCCCATCAAACAAAAAGTTCTTAAAATAAACATTCATCACAATTATTATTTAAACTGTGTAGCAGACATCATTAAAAATCCATGCAAGGCCAGCATTTTTTTAATTTCTGGTTTAAAAACCCACCACTGATTTTTTTTCAGTGATGATTCTGTGAATTGGCCAAAATATTTGAACTAGTTTGCAAGCCCAAAAAAGGTTTAAATGAGGGACAAAAACTGCTGTGGAACAGTTTTTTTCAACAACTTTTACATCTTGACTTGGCCATTGAAAGGAAGTCTCAACCATCCCTGAGTTTGTATTTACCTTACTTGGAGATATAAGAAAACATCTGGATGATGCAGATTAAATCAAAACACGGACATAACAACATGAATTTTTTACCCAGACAAAAATGGAAACAGATCGCTGTAAAAATCGAAAGTATTGAAATATCGGAAAGCACTCGTAAATATCAGATTCTTGGATTCAAATTAGCGGAATTCCACTAAATATCGAAGAGAATCATCACTGTTTTTTTTTACCCTTACAACAAATGAAATAATTTTTTCTTATCCTCAGGTGTCATACTTGCACACAGACTGAAATTTTCAATTTCAAATAATAACTACTTTCAAGCATAAGAAAAAAACTGTTTTGTGTTTACATGACACATTAGTATGCTCAAAGAATATCCAGGAAATTATCAGGAACAGCAGTTTAAAATAAAATTTATTGATGACCGAGGCAAATTTCTTTGGTGCATACGTACCACTGCACGGTAACGACTTTTGCCCAAATTTTGAAAGTCGATCAACATTGAACACTTTGATGATCCAGTAATATTTTGAACATTTATTTTCCTCAGCTGATGGGACTTCACAAATACCGAGTTTGAAAACTATAGAAATACATGTAAAAATGTTGGCCCAATAGAAGTTAATGTCAAAAAG